GCGTTGTAAAGGAAAATTAAACCATGTCCAATTGAGTAATGCCACAGATTCATCCATGTAACTGAACCATGCCTTAAGTGTGTTTACTCAGTTTTTTGCACTGATTTTAGACCTTAATATCTCCTTCGATTCTTGATGAAAACGCATGAATTTGCAACCAAATTAAAGATCTCATGAAGTAGACCATCATAGGATCAATAAATTTAAAAAATGATTCATCAAGCATGGAAAAAATCGCGCGCGAAAATTACTAAAATCAACATATTCTTTAACTTGGAAAAACATAACTCAACCATGCTACTTTAGATTTATTGATCTCTCTCATTTCTGAGCCAAATCACTTGATTCAAACATCAAAGTTTATTATGAAAATGCGAAGAAAAACAAAATGAACATATATTTCACAACTAATGCATGATTAAGCAGAAATCTGAGCATGGAAGCATTGTTCCAATAAAAATTCAAACAACTTACAGAGCACGAATTCATCATCAAATCTCTAATATTCATACTTCAGATCTAAGATCCGACCAGTAAGCATGACTAAAACAAGATCTTCATTGCAGATTCACAATGAAATGATGATGTGAAGTTCATGAAACTTACCTCAAGTATTGAAAATTAAATTAACTAGGTGCCTCTGAACTTAACAAGAAAACCAGTGAATCTTCTCCTTCCAGCTTCAATGATGATGAATTGATGAAGAAATTGCAGCTTGATGCAAGAGAATGGAGAGAGCTTGAAAGTTTGTTGAAGAATGAAGAGAGAAATTAAAGCTTACGAGAAAGAGTGAGGGAGCGTGTATGTAAAGACTTTTTTTGTAATGAGGGTGAAGAATAGTTTATATAGAGTGGGGAAGAGTATTGAGGAAGCTTTGCTAGGGGTATAAGAGTCTTTAGAGGCTTGTAGCTGTTAGAGGGAAATGCTGGAAATTTGCAGCAAGTTTGAGTGAAGCCAAGCAGCTTGCATTTCATGCCTTATTGTTGACCATATGTGTGCATTTTGATGAGTGAAAATGGAGTGGGAAATGAGCATCATGCGTGTGACGAAATTAGGCATGTTGCAAAAGTGTAAATGTTATGCTGAAGCTTACGACAAAACATAATATGAAGCTTCTTTCCCTTAATCATAACTCTAAGAGTCCTTGATCAATTGACTCAAGCTTATGCTTAATGAAAAGAGAAAAGTAAGGGAAATAACTCTCATGTTGAAAGAAAATTGAGTTGAAGTTTGGAGATGCCTTAAATCTGAGCATGAAAACATGATGGTGATGACTGATCAACCTTGACTTGGCAGGCCGCGCGCGTGCGTGCATGGTCTTGCATGCTGGTAAATTTGTCAACTTTGAGAGTTCAAATTCTAATGGTGATATCTTCTTCATTCTTGAGCCAAATGGAATGATCCAAAGAGCTAAATGAAGCTTACATATCCTACTACAATTGCCCTTTGACCAATTTTCAAATTAAAACTTGAACCAAAATATGAAATACTATGAACATGGGCATGCCAAGTGTTTGAAGTAACAACTGTTCTAACACGCGCACGAGATGAATATTCTGGCCAGAAAGATAGCATCTCATGCCCTCATGTTCATTTCATTGTAACTCTCACCATAATGCTCAGAATGAAATGATCTTTAAATCAAAATTGAAGAGGACACAAATATCTCCAACTTTGATGTTCAAACATTTTTGAAATTATGATCCATTCTTTAATAAAAATGATAGTGAAGGTGTGCCCATCATATGTTTCATAAATTTCGCGCGTAAGGCCTCCTTTGCTGGGCAACCTTGCCATCTTTAGGCCCTAAACTCCTAAGCACAATAACTCACAAATGCTTCACTTTTGAGGTTTGAGCACACATTAACAAACTTGTAGGTTTTTTCTCAAGATTTCCAAGCATATAAGAGTTGCCTCCATTGGATAAAAAGTGAGAGAGTTATGAATATCCATAATTCAGTACTATAGGACTTAAAGACTTAGAATTTTCTTTCTAAATATCCAAATACCTTCTTGAACAAGTTATCTCCATTTTGATCTTTTATCTTGATTTTGTGACACCAATGATTATGAAATATGAAAATAGAATACTTGAATTGATGGTTGACCAACAGTCCACTTGGTCAACTTTGACTTTGGTTGACTTTTGGTCAAAATGACTATTTTGCCCCTTTTGATCAATTGAACTTCTTTCAATCAAAATTGATGCTCAACCTTCCTTTCATAGATGCTCATAAACATGTTAAGGAGCATAGAACCAAGTATTACTCAAGAAGTCAAAGATTTCTTGATTAAACCAAAAACCTTAATTTTGGCTCTCTGTGTTAGGAGATGATGGCCAAGCTTTAAAACTCTCATTCTCCTGGTTAAATTGAGAAATTATTTGAACAAAAATGTATTATATGATGATGAGGAGATGATGCTTCACACGTTTTCCATTTTGTAAGCCTCAGACTCCTCAACTGGTCAAAACCCTAATCTTGAGAGATGAACAGTGGAAATGTGATTCTTCTCCAAACTTTGTAAATTTCCATCTTCTAATGATCATATGGGACAAATGAAATGTCTACCAATATAGAAAAACCTTATAGCCTTGAGAGAGTTTAAAGATTGAAGATATGAGATCCTCTTTTGCACAGATTGACCAAACAAACATCTTCTAGAGCTTGTAGAAGAACTTGGGAACTTGAATGCCATAATCCTTACCATGAAATGTATGAGTATGTATGATGAAGCATAATCCATGTAACTAAAATGAAGAGGGAAAATTTTGGGGTGCAACATTAACATTTTCTAACACTCGTTGTGTCGGTTTCTAAACACTCGTCGTGTTAACTTCTAAACACTCGTCGTGTCATCTTCCAACACTCGTCGTGTCGGCTTCCAAACACTCATCGTGTCGGCTTCCAAACACTCGTCGTGTCAACTTCTAAACACTTGTCGTGTCATCTTCAAACATTATTCGTGTCAAACTCTAAACACTCATCGTGACATTTTCCAACACCCATCATGTCGGTTTCCAAACACTCGTTGTGTTAAATTCTAAACATTCGTCATAACATTTCCAACACTCGTCGTGTCGGTTTCCAAACACTCATCGTGTTAACTTCTAAACACTGTCGTGTCATCTTCTAACACTCATCGTGTTGGCTTCCAAACACTCGTCAGTGTCTATTTTCCTCCCAAATTCCCATCAAAATCAATAGCTTGATTCATAATCCAGTTCTCGTATGGTAGTCAGTTCCCGTCTGACAATTAATTCAAATCCTAGTTCTCGTATAGTAGTCAGTTCCCATCTGAAAATTAATTCTAAACCCAGTTCTCGTATGGTAGTCAGTTCCCGTCTGACAATCAATTTTAAACCCAGTTCTCGTCTGGTAGTCAGTCCCTGTCTGACAATTGATTCAAATTCCAGTTCTCGTCTGGTAGTCAGCTCTCATTTGTCCTTCCCCTCCTCCTTTTTTGGTTAGGTCTGTTTAGCATACGAAGCTATCAGAATTCTAGTTATTGACCTTTTTCGGGATCAGAGATCGTCCTTAGATCCTTCCCCCTTTCGACATCTTGTCTCGGGTTGCGGATTGTTCTGATATCCCACCATCTTGTCATCTTGTCTCGGGTTGTAGGTTGTCATGATACCTCCCCTCTTGATGTCCTTCAATGTGTCGTGTATTGTCCTGATATCCCACCATCTTGTCATCTTGTTTCGAGCGGTGGGTTGTCCTGATACCCCCTTCTTGATGTCCTTCATTGGGTCGTGGGTTGTCCTGATATCCCACTATCTTGTCATCTTGTTTCGGGTCGTGGGTTGTTCTGATAACTCCCCTCTTGATTTCCTTTTTCGGGTCGGGGATTGTCCTAATGTCCTTCCCTGTCATCCTTTCGAGTTGTGGATTGTCCTGATATCCTATCCTCCTACCTCTTTCACCATAGAAACTGTTCCTCTTTGAGAACTTCGTATTGGCACCATTCCCCCGATATAGATTATCACTATTCATCCGCGCTTTCGCATCACAAACCTTTTCCCCAGTAAATGTCCCACAAAAAAATAATGACAAATAACATTCAGACTTTCTCTCACAACAAATTTTTAGCATTGAATGTTCGAAAGACTAGCATTAACCTCACCTTCATGGTTTAAGAAGATTAAATAGGGGCAGCTGTAATACCCCAAATTTGTACTACCCTTTCACTTTTATCTGGATTATGCATCATCATATGCATACCTTCCATTAGGTCATTTAACATTGCATTTATTCACTAACAACGTAACTTGGAAGGGATCGAGAATCTTCAAAAACTAGGGGTTCAATATTGGTTTTCAGTTGAGATTTCTTAAGCTAGGGTTTGGTTCATATTCACCATTTCAAGCCTCAGCATCCATCTCCAAGAGTTCTTTAAGGCATTTATATTGTGTGCTCCGCAAGTCAAAATATCTTTGAAGATTGAGGTGCAAAAGCATTGAGTTATGATACAAAGATGTAGTTGTGGAATCATATGGTGATCAAGGCATTGTTATTGTTTGTTGCTTCAATTACAAGTTAGCTTGGATTTTGAGAATTGAAGTTAAGGGTGCATGGAAGTACAAGGTGGTTTGAGTTCATCATTGAAATTTGGAATTTGAAGACTTATCAAGTTCATTCATGGTTCATTTTGGATTCAAATAATAAGCTTTATCATTGCAAAAGCTTAGGTCAATCTTCATTCACAAGGGATAATACAAACAAAGCCATTTCATGTTATCATTACATCTTTGGAACTTTAGACAAAAAAGAAAAAGACTTTACAAATTGAGTTCATGGCAAAATATACAAAGTTCTAAACTTAGTGCTAAATCTATGCTCTTTGTCCCAAGTTTCTTCATGAGTCATTATTTATTTCTCCATCCCAAGGGTGCAACTATTTTTATACGGTAAGATTGAAAAGATGTCAAAGAGTTCAAATTGAAGCAGTTTAGAGCATATTACATTTCATTAAAAATACATAAAAAAACCTACAGTGTCTTAAACCTGAAGTATAACTTCAAGCTTCCATCTTCTGATGATTCCATTAAGTTTCTTCACTTCCTCGCATGTTGAAACTTCCATGCCATGTACACCATGCCAAAACGAAACTTGTTGCTTTGACATAAACCAGACCTGCATAATCAAAGGAAAAAACATCGAATACCATGAAGCTATTCACATAAATAATCATGCTTCAAGAGGCCATTCCAAGTCATGATGCATACAAGAATGTGAGCATCCCGTTCAAACTCTACAATCACTACATCAGTTCAAGCACCAGTTCAGAATGAAAAAGACTTGCAATAAAAGACAATAAGTAGCCTATGTCATTCGCAAAACAGTCTAAAAATTGACAGCCTAGTATGTCCAACAAAAGAAGCGGAAAATGGTTAACTGTATAACCACAAAACCAATTCCATTACCCTGCACAACAAATAAACCGCATCCATGTTCAAACAGCAAAACAAAAAGGCAAAAACAGAAAGCCAGGAAATCATAAACAAAATCCTCTAACACAATTTCAACTACCTTAAACCTTAACTAACCGCATAACATAATTCTAAACTAATTCTTAACATAACTCTTTTATCCAAACTGTATTCTAATTCTAACCAATTCATAACCATTTTTTCTATAACCAATATCTATTAGTTAACAGGAAAACTGGGCATAACAGTTCTCTAATAGATTCTAACAACCTCCTAACCAATTCCATAACTAACTTCAACTAACTATAACTAACTACCCGTAACAGAGTTTCAACCAACTAACAAACTTCCTAACTATTTTTAACCAGTTTCCTAACAGAAAGATAAGAACAGAATTTTACCTGGAAATTGATTCATTCTTCACTCTCTGAAGAATCACACAAAACGCAGAACTCTTCATTCTCTCCATAACTACCTTCATTCACCTGCAACCTTTCTGGACCCTCATTCTTGATTTCTCTCCCACACCATGACCTCTATCTTCACCTTTCTTTCTGAATTCATAATTTATTATTCATAACACACATAAAACAACGCGAAAACTCACAGAGAAAAAAATCACCATTTCATTACCCTCCTCTGAATTTTCTCTTTAATTTTGTTGTTGCTTCTATAATCTTGATTAATCTGCAACATCCTATCATCAACACTCCCCCATTAATTCTACAACATTCTTCAACCAGCATCAACGAATTCATCTTTACCACTCTCGACGCTCTTCTCAATCTCCCTACAACACATACAACGCTGTAAACACTCGCGCAAGGAAAAAGCACAGAACACGCAACAAGAGAAGCAATTCAAAGTCGTAGAAATCACAGAAGAAGCATCTGAAAAGAAAATAAAGAAAAATAAACAGGATTTACGACGTGATCATATACCTGATTTTTGCGGAGTTCTTTGGATTTCGTGAAGTCAGTAAATTCTCTTCTTTAATTACACAATGTATATTTATGTTCGATTGTTAAATCTGTGAACGAGTGTTCTCTGGTCATAACGTTGAGGTAGAAGTGGGTTCTAGAAGGTGGAATTGGATTATAATGGGAGAAGGAGAGTCGGCTTTGTGAGCAGAGACCGATCAGAGAGTAAATGGAGAAGGTCGTTCACTGAGTCACGCGACGTGAGGAAGAGGAGAAGAATTTCTGGTTCAAAGAAGTTCAGAAGACACAGTTTAACCCTAACTTTTTTCCATCAAAATGACATCGTTCATATTTTAATTTGGAATTTAGTTTGTTTCAATTTTTTTCTATTCTATTATTAATTGTTTTACAACTTGCTGCATATAATTATCCAAATAATGCTGAAAATTGGAGTGGACTAGGCATTGATTTCATTGGGCCTATCCTGAAGTCTGGTTCATACAGATTTTTATGGACCTGGCTAGTTGAACGAAAAAGACTACTATTGGACTCAATCAAATGGGCCTAGCGCCCAGACTGCATTACACCACTTAGATTCCAGTTTGCAACCCCCTTTGGACTCTTTTTTCTATTTTCTAATTTATTTTGAACGATTTTGTGAATTGTTTAGATTTGTTTGAACTTTTTCTTCATATGATAAAGATATAAAATCAATAAAATTCATTAGTTTTTCTTAATCGATTTTAGGAATTAATTCTTTAGTTTTTGATAGAATTTTTCCCCACATAAAAACTAATAAAAAAATACTTTTCCTTTTAGTTTTTATTCATAATTTCATACCTTAGTGTCTCGTTATTTTTGACGTGTTTGTTCATTGTGCAAGGTACATTTTGATGCTTTTGATCATGTAATATAACAAGTTGTTATGTGATCGAAGCATACATCTTATGCTTGCTTCCGGTGCAACACACATTATTTCCCATCGTCCCGAGGAATTCATATCATATTATATGTTGTCCAGATACATATAGATATTTTGTGATGCTTTGTGCAGGGACTTATGATTACGTGTTACATTCGTAACACGCATTTTCTTTTATCTTAGTTGGATATCGTTTTTGACTTTGTTTGTTTCTTGGTGAAGCTTGCTCGACGCGCACTCCCTGCTTATCCATTTCTTTTGTCTGCCTTTGACGATCCACTTGCTTTTGGTAGTCGCTGCTACTGCTTTTACATTTTTCCGCACTTTGTCGCATTTCTTTACTGCTTCCTAGATACCACGAGAAGTAGGAACTTTACTGCTTTCTGATGCCATGAGAAGTAGGAATAGAGATGTATGACGGGGGTATTTGTTGCTGATCATGTCAGGAACCCCTCTGGTTTATATAAAGACCCTTTTAGGGCAATTCTATATTATTTTCCATTGTGTGCTACTTGTGTGTCGTTTGTTTAAAACCCTACCTTTGTGTAGGTATTTTGCAGGTGTGTTTACATTTGTGCCCGCATTATTCCCCCATCCCTTATTGAAGTCCTCAAAAGGAGGCGAGTGGAAAGGGTTAATAATCAACCCCCGCAATTTCGTCTGTGTCATCCTTAACTCGTGATGCACCATAATGCTTCGGAGTTGTACCTACTCTTCTTATCGAGTCGTCAAGTGGAAAAGGGTTTCGCAATCGAACCCCCACACTTTGTCAGGAGTTCGCATTGGCCGATGCTAACACTTTGTGATTGTTCATATTGCCTTCTATCGCCTACCTCAGTCTTCTATATCTTGGTTAGGTGTTGCGTTGCTTTGGACATCCCATATTTGTTTTTTTATCTCACTCCCGCTTGTTTGTCTCAGGTGATACGCTCCCCTTAACTAAAGCATTTTACTTTTTTCTTTACCTTTTCATGTGTGTGCTCTTTCGAGCTTGTTTGCTTACTCACTTTCTATACCATGTTCCCTTAGGATGTGCTTGTTCTTTTCGGATGCAAGTTAGACCTTAGGTTGCAAGCCATGCATTCTAACGTTAGGTAGACGTTTCCCTTTTGTAAAACCAAACCTTAGGACCACCATTGTATGATGACACTAGGATTAGAAATATGTTAGTCTCCCGTAGACTCTTTTCTCCCCCTTTTGCATATGCATTTAAAACTAAAACTTTTCCTTAGTAAATCATAAAACATGTTAATCACACTTAAACCCTTTTTCAAGGTAACAAAATACAAACCAATCAAATGTGGCATCTTGCCTTGAGGGCGTAACTCAAAACCATTTTCAGGTAAGGACATATTAATTTACTTATGTGCCAACGCGTGAGTCTCCAAAGGTCGAGCTGTGGCAGAAGGAAAAATTAACATTGTTCATAAAAAACACAAAACAAATAAAACATGTGATCCAAACTATAGTAACTCTAATTCCTCGAAAAGGATACGTAAGCATTGGGGTCGCGCCTAAGCAAGCACAACTTTATTTTCCCTAAATTATTTTCTCTTTTCCTTTGCATGCATTCTTCCTCAATAATAAGCAGTAAGCATAGATTAAACACACCCTTAAGATAGATAACAAGAGTGGATACCGTAGGTTACTATGGGTATGTGTTGTGCTAATACCTTCCCCTTGTGTAGCAGTCTCCCTTACCCGATTTCTCGATCGCAATACCGTGACTTCTCCCTTCTCAGGTTTTCTTGATGTTTACCCATCCCTTCATGTGGGATGAAAGACGTTTGATGGAGACTTCATTGTTTGATGATTTTCAGCCGGTTGTTTCAGGTGGGAAAACTCATACTCATTTTCCAGAACTTGGACCATGATTAAGAAGCCACACAACTTTCTAATAGATGAAACTAGACCTTCAATATCATCTGGAGTTCGAAAGCTAACAACTCTATCCAAGATATACAAACAGTTGATTCCTGAATCAATCAATCCATCTACATGAGAAACCAAGCCCACTAAAAAATCAACCTCTGTAGTCTCAAGAAAAAGATCAAATTGTCTCTGACTATAGATAGAAGGTATTGTGACTTCGCTAAATGTGACACATGACTTGAAAAAACTCAGATCTTTCTTAGCACATTGTAAAGATTGAATTGCTAAAGAATTTCTAGAGTGAACGAGAGTTTCCTTAAGCTCATTGAATCTTCCAAAAGATGCTCGACAATAAACCAAAAATGCTAAATGATGTTCCATCTCTGCTCCATAATCTACCAAGTGCACAACACGGGATACTAAACGTGCCACTTGGCTATCACCATTCTTTAAATTTACAAATTCCATATTATTATTAGAACAAGATTTGGTTCTGCAATATTATCTCTGAGTTTTGATGATAAAAAATGAGTATGTTTGTATGAACAATTTTGATACTCTAATGTGTTATTTTTTAGTATTTAACAAACAGGTTCTGCTTATGATGAATGGCGTGGCCAAGAAATTAGAAGAGAATTAATTATGCTTCTGCACTACAGAAGCTCTGATGAACAGTAGTAAGACACTCCAAAAGCTTCTAAAGTGTAGGCTTTGATGTTTGTCTAAAGAAATAAGTCAAAAGATATGAACACAGAAGTTCTACTTACATCCAGATGCTGAAGACTAATGCTTCTAAAGACAACATGCTCTAAAGAAAGAAGTCAGAAGAACTGAAGACAAAAGTTTCTACTAAAGACCAAATGCTGATGACTCATGTTTGTGAAGACAATGGGTTCTAAAAAAATAGTCAGAAAATCTGAAGAAAAGAAGTTCTACTTAAGTCCAAATTCTAAAGACTCTGGTTTCTAAAGACCCAATGTTATAAGAAATGGGTTCTAAAGACTATGTGTTGAAGACTCTGAAGACAGGAGTTCTAAAGACTCTAAAGATTGGAAGTTCTAAAGACCAAAGGTTCTAGAAAAGGTTCTCACGGCCAAGTGTTTTATATTCTGAAGACGCAATTCTGAAGACTCTGAAGACTTGAAGTTCTGATGACCTTGTGTTATATTCTATCTTCTAAACTCATACTCGCATAAGTCTCTGAAGTGCAGAAGGAAAAAAGATAATGTTAACGTGGTATAAATAGTATATGGTACAATCAATGTTTCATTCCACTACCATGAAAGGACGACACATTGCACGATTTTATCCCCCACGTTACTGATCAAGCCACCAATGATTATGGAAATCCCAAGATTACCCCTCAACGGATATATTATTTTATTGGCTATATAAAGGCTTCAAGACTAAGAGAGAAAGCGACTAATCAACAAAATATCTACGTACAAAGTGATGTTCAAAGCTTTCATATTTTTATTCTATTATTCTTAAAATAGTTTACATATTCAGCTTGTGTAGAAGAAATATTATTATAAACAAAACTTGTATTCAATCATTTGTTTGATTTCCTTAAGGAACGGTTAGGTCTGTATCCTTGAGAAGTTTATGACTAGTGTGTCTTAGAGATTTGATTTTCATTAAAGGACGAGTTAGGATTGTATCCTTAAGAAGTCTAGGACTTTAGTGTCTTGGAAGTTGTTAGTCACTTGCGGGTAACTTGTGCAATATAATAATCAGATGGATTATTGGATTACATCCTCGTTTAAGAGAGGCGAAATCACCTTGGTGAGTGGACTAGACTAGCTTGATAGTTTTCAAGTGAACTAGTATAAACATACCTTGTTCTTTACTTCATGTTCTTAATTATTGTTATTATCAAGAGTGGAGAAAAAGTATTTTTAATTAAAGGGGAATAGTTTTAAAAGAAAATTATTTTGTTTAAAACCCAATTCAAAACCCCCACTTTCTAGTGTTTTTCACACCTTCAATTGGTATCAGAGTCTGGTTCTGAGGAGATAAAAAGTTTACATTTTTATCAACACTTAACAGTGTTCAGTACCGATCCAGTGTATGTGAAAAACTAATGACTACACCTACTTCCACTGTTTATAATAGGGATAATGATAGAGATCACAATAGTTCAAAACCTCCTATGTTTGATGGGGAGAAATTTGACTACTAGAAGGATAAAATAAAAAGTTACTTTCTGGCATATGACTTGGATCTATGGGATTTGGTAGTTGATAGCTACACTCACCCAATAGATGATAAAGGTCAGAAGATTTCCATAAGTGCAATGACAGAAGCATAGAAGAAAGTTTACAAGAATCATTACAAAGCAAGAACTATTATGCTTAGTGTTATTTCATACAATGAATATAGAAGATCACAGATAGAGATACTACAAAGTCTATCTTTGATTATCTTCAGATGATGCATGAAGGCAATGCACAAGTAAAGGAAACAAAGGCTCTGGACTTAATTCAAAAATATGAAGCCTTCAAGATGGAAGATGATGAATATGTGGAAACGATGTTTTCAAGATTTTAGACTCTTGCGGTAGAACTTAAGATTCTTAATAAAGGTTACTGCATTACAGATCTTGTTAAGAAGATTATCAGAAGTGTTCCTGTCAAATGGAGACCAATGGTAACTACTTTAAAATTGGCAAAGGATCTGAACAACATGTGTCTTGAGGAACTTATTAGTTCTTTAAGAAGTCATGAAATAGAGCTTGATAAAGATGAACCTCAGAAGAGGGTAAAATCATCTACTCTAAAGTCTATGTCTGGAAAGATCAAGTCTTATCAAGCTAAGGAAGAATCAGAAGAATCAGAAAAAGTTTCAAATAACGTAGAACTTTCATTGATATCCAGAAGAATCAGTCAAATCTGGAAGCATAGACAAAGAAAATTCAGAAGTCAACGAAGGACATATGGAAGAGATAAATCTACCTCTGGTCAGAAGAATGCTTATGGAAAAGAAGTTACCTGTTATGAATGAAAGGAGCCTAGACATTACAAAAATGATTTTCCAAAGCTCAAGAAAGACAAGAAGCCTAAAAAGGCTTACAAAGCTAAGAAGAGTCTCATGGAAACATGGGATAATTTTGAACCAGAAGATGAAGATTTTGATGAAGATCATGCAAACATGGCACCCATGGCCAAGACTTGCATATATGAACAAACATCAGAAGATGAACTGAAACTTGATAATGAGTCAGACTTTGATGACGATAAAGAGGTACTTTCTTCCTTATCTCATTCTGAATTTGAAATTGGTTTATCTTAATTAATGAAAAGGATGATCTTCACATTGTCTCGGATGTGATTAGTCAAAGAATAATCATCACAAAAAAGTCTATTTTGGATCTACTAGGTCTGGAGTTTTTGGAAGGAAAATGTACGTTTGGAATGGAGTTTAGGTCTAATGCTCAAAAGAATGCTCTCCGTCAATTGTTGTTTAAGAATTACACCGCTGAGAAGAAAGAATACAAGAGTAAGGATCTTTATGACAATTTGAGAATTTTTCACAAGATCCTTCTGGGTTGCATAAATCCTATACCTCCAACAAGTTGTTCGAATTATTTTAACATCAGCCTGCAGTTCATGTTGTACTATTTGCTTACTGAAAAGAAGGTGAATCCCCCCTTTGTTCTGTTTAGTCATTTGAAGGAGGCTATCAGGAAATCAAGAACCACTGAAAAATCAAGATAAAAAGGTCTCTCCTAATATTCCATGTGGACGTCTTCTGACGGACATCTTTATAGAAAGTGGCTTGGTAGACTTTCTGACAAAAGAGGCCAAGTTCACTAAATACTTGATTCCATGCGTTGGAGAACCATTTAATGGAAAAACCTTGAGAAACATGAAGATAATCCTGAAAATTAAAAATAAACACTTGGGTGAGCCATCTGAAGTCACGAAGAATAATAGAATCTATGTTGACAACTTTCCTCTATTCTCCAAGAGTGGTATCCTAACTGACGTGGTTGCATATGTTGTAAGGATGGCTAGAGCAGGACATGATATGTCTAATTTCGACATCGGCAAACATTCTGCTGAGGAAGTTGATTATTCTAAAGGGAAAGGGAAGGAAAGATCAGATGGTTGTAATCCTGAAAAAGAAGAAAAAGAAGAAGTCTAAACTTCTCAAAGATGCCATTCCGAGAGCTAAAACTTCTGTAACATCTAGTAAGTCTGATACTTCAGTACCTGTTTCATTGTCTGTCTCTAATATTATTGATGCGGTCTCATCCATTCCAACCACCATCACATAAACATCATCTATTACATCCTTTTTTGTTCCATCATCTACCATCACCACTTTTGTTTCTGCTCCTGTTACAAATATCCCTTCTATTTCTGGTACCACTTCAGCTGAAATTCTGGTAACTACAAATGTGTTTGTTCCACCATCAACAATAATAATTTCTAAATCCACCACCACCACACAAGATTTTACTCCAAATCCTATTCCATCTCTCACTACCATCATTCCATCAGAACCAATCCACACTTTTACATCTCCATTAACCTCACCTCAATCACTTCCACAAACTTCTCATTTTTCAAATTTTGATACCAATCTTCATTTTGCCTTCTTTTACAAAGAAACCACTCTCCATGACTCACCCATCATCCATCCTGATCCAATTTCTCCCCCTGATCACGAAATGACTGAAAGGATAATTTATGATAACCATGGAGCTATTGAAATTTCCATAATTGAACATTTCACTTGTTCTGAACTTTTCAATATGAATGAACCTGTAACTTCTGAACCCATCCCTTCTGAAAGTGACTTAGTCATAGTTGTCTATGACAAACCTATCCCAACAACTCTGGATGAATGAATCAACAAGTTTAAAACTAAGGCTGTGAAAAAGGTTTCGAAGTTAAGGGCAGAGGCAAGTATCTCTAATATGTCTCAGGAAACGGCTGATTCTTGGAAGAAGTTTTAGAAATGGATGGCTTCTAAGTTGAAATGTTTTAACACTTTTGTTGAAGAATCAAAAGCTTGGGATGTTTAGTTGGTAACTGAAAGGAAATAAACAAGAGAAAGAATCAGATTATTTGAACTGTTTGCTGCTAAGCAAAAAGAGGATGAAGCTAAAGCGCTTCGAGAAGTAGAAGAAGAAAAGCTTAGAAAAGCAGAAGAAAAAGCCAAACTCAAAGTTGCAGAAGAAGAAAAGGAAGCAGAAGAAGCTGCTAAGGCTAAATAATATGTTGTGGTTGCTTCATCTTCTGATCCTGCCATTGTGCTTCTAGAAAACGCAATTGGGGAGATTAGAGGAGAACAACAAGTGTTCAAAGAAATCATCATTGAACAGAAGGTTGTTAATGAGAATGTTCAGAACATGCTACAACTGATTCTGCAAAATATTTCTGCTCCTCCTCCTGCTCCTAAACCCTAGGCTCTAGAATTTTATTTTTCCTTTTGCTTATAAACCATAGGACTATACTTGC